TAGTATAAAGGGGTCTTTTCCCCTTCCGAAGCTGGAGTCTGAGTAACAAAAGAGAGCCTAGTCAGGTTGCAGCCTCTCCATTCCTCTTAGGAAGAGATGCCTTTCCCTATAGTCTGTTTCTTCCCCATCTTGGCAAGTCTGACTTTTATGATCATCACTGCTCTCTGTTTCCTTGATAGGCTTCCTCCTGGTTCACTCATCCAAAAGCCACATCTTGCTGTCTCTCCTGAAGTTCAGAGCAGAAAGGAAGAGGGAAATTCTGTGGGAGACGCCTTGGGCACAACCCTTCTCACTTCCTTTCTTCTCTGGTCTTAGCCTATACCTTCTAGCTTCTTGGTCAGTGCCAATCCATGAACTTCAGGCTGCAGCTCCTGGGGACAGCTGCATGTGTTAGCTACAGAGCACCACCCCAGCTCAGACCCTGGGAGAGCAAGCAGGCTGTATTGGTGTGGAAACTGCAGCTCAAGGATTAGGTGGACAGTTGGCACAGGACCTGGCTGGTCTATCAGGGAAGCTCAGCAAAAGCAGCCCTTTTGCCATTGCTTCAGGGCCAGCACTTGCCCTGTGTTCCCTTTGGTTGTGTCCTTCTTGGGCTAGACTCATATTGTGCCATGCAAACCCCGTAGCTTGGCTCCTCTGTTAACTCTTTGGCAAGGTAGATCTTTCTGTTCCTATCAATTCATGGGCATGTGATAGGACTGGATGGAAAGTAAGGTGAGGCTAGTAATTTGATGCGACAGCTGATATTGGGCCTAGACTGCATTTCCCACTGGCCAGGGCTTAGCTTCATGGAGCTTTTAAGAGTATTTTTAGTCCCCAGAAAATAAAAGAGAAACTAAACCTGACTCTATGTGCTGTCACCTCTGCATACTCGGCTATTTTTACTTCCGACAGTCTAGGCCTGGGTCCAGCTTTTAAAAAAAGCTGGAATTATTTTACTTCCATTAAGAAAAAAACCCTAAAGCTTGATGTTATCAAGTCAGTAAGGGGACATCTGATCCCAAAGTTGTCAGGCAGACGTCTCTCCAAGGGGCATGTCAGAGAAATGCAGGGAGCTGGAACAGATCAGCAGATCAGCTCTCTCACTGCAGAGGTTTGGTGCTGGCACAGATCTCTCTGCAAGCACTTGGAACACGAGTGGCACCCACAGGACAGTTAGAAAACTGACATCCCTGCCCTAGGCAGGATGCTGAATCGAGAAGTCCTGCGCAAGTCCTGGCTCTGCACTTCTCCCTGCTAGGTCAGAGCGTCTCTGGCAGGCAGGGAAGCTGAGAGTGAGCTGCTGTTGAGCTGAGACTCAATCCCTATGGCATACACCACGGTCAGCTCCATATGTAGGTCAGATGGGGTGCCAGAACTCTTATTCAGGGTCCCTCCAAAGGTAACAAATTCAATGAACAGCAGCATTTTCTTACAATACATGAGAGTGGAAGGACCTGCCAGCAAGATAAGTTATCAAGGGGTGGTGCTTTCTAAACTTTGCCCTCTACTGTTGCATCTCACCTTCTTGCTCATAATGTCAAAAAGGGGGGTCCAGGAGTGCCTATGGTGGCGACAGTTTTGTAGGGTGAGTCACTTGTCTCCTTTGAACAGGCCAGTTGTAATCTCTGTGACAATAGGGTTTGTGCAGGAGCTGGAAGGCAACAGCTTTCTTTTGCTGCTGTCTCATGAGGGTGCAGCACCAAATTGTATCGAAAGGTCTTCAGTATGGACCAGCTGCATCTCATAAGTGGCTGCTGCACCTTGCAGTTAATGTTCAGGTGGCTGCACATAATGTTCAGGTGTGAAACCCGCCCTTGTGATTCCAGTGTACATATCACTCAGCCTTGCTCCAGCCCTCTCTCTTTCATCTCCCTTCTCCTTACACTCTCCCACTTCCATTCATATCCCAGTTTACATCCCTGTCCATTTCTTCTCTACTCAGTGCTTTGCTTCATGCTGCTTCTCTGATCTAACTCACCACACCTTGCCACTCCCATTTTAATGTCCTTTAGTGTCCCTTGCAGAGCTGCATCATAATCAGCCTACTTATCTTAAAATCAACCACAGAGAAAATCAAAGTAGAGGAGCAGACATTAAGTACCGCAAGTTCTGATTTTGGGCCATGCCCTTTCCTTCCATCTAGATATGACCCATTAGGCTGTCAGATCTTTGGGAAAGGGATTTTACCATGATGGTTATGTCTGGAGTGTCACAGTCAGGGACTCGAGGGATTAAATGCTTATGTTTACTGTAGCACCTGCTGGCCACTGCACTCAGCAGCTGGTGCAGGGATGTGCTACCATGGGGGTCAGTCTGTTCACCAGCTCTGCGGCTGGAGTGATGATGACAGGGTAGAACAGTGGCTCTGTGAGTGCTGATTGAAAATATTTGCCTCAAGGAGTGTCGCACAGGAAAGGGGAACAAGAGGAGGACAAACAGTTGTTCAAAATTAACAAGCTGAAGTCCTTGGGCAAACAGACCTCTATCTGCTCAGTGAGGGAAGGAGGGATGGAGGGTAAATCTCTCTGCATCTTTCTTATCTTTCTTTAATACACTTAAGTCCTTTGTGTCCTTATAATCTGATTGAGGGTCCCTAGTACCGCTGCAACCTGTGCAGCCATCCCTCTGCCAAGCACTGGAGGCATGCTTCTCCTTGGGAGGAAGAAACAAGCTCCTTCCCCCATTTTGTCCCTACTCCTCACAGTTCCTCCTCCCTTCTGCTTATCAAACTGCACAGCAAAAACATCCTGGAAGGCAGTGTGTTGGTTTCTGCTGGGCTGAGAATGGCACCTCCCTGCACGGATGACATCCTGACCACTGATGTGAAGGAATGCATCCTTTGTCTGGGAGGGTCCTGGGAAGCTCTGATTCAGTCCTGAAGTCTTGCAGCCTGTTCTGAATTCCTCTGTAATCTTTCAACAGTATATTCCTGATTCTTTTCATTTTTATACCTGGTTGCTTGGTTTACTGGCAGCTCCTGAAATTTGCGTCTCTCCCATCTTTCCTGGCTGAGGTAGATGTCACACATTCAGCAGAGCATGGAATAGAAGTCTTCTTTCTTAGCAAAACAGGGCACGTTTATAGAGGGAAAGAAATCATGGATGGAAATGAAAATTTCCTGCTTCATCCAGGACTTTATTAGTGTCGTTCCTCAGGGATCTCCCTAGATAACCTCAGGTTTGGGATTCCCTGGCTGTCCTTTCTGAAATTGGTCTCTGGAGCATGTTGGGGCACCCAGGAAGGAGTCTTGCCCACAGCCTACCTGCTGCTGGGAATGGAGAAGAAATAGGCATCATTTTCAGAAACAATACCATGTAATGGAGGAGAAAGGTGGACTTATGCTTAGGTATGTCAGAGAATTCTCCATACAGAGTCAGAAATAGAAAATGGGACGGGGAAGGAAATTACTCAGTGTGACCTGAGCTCACTTGTATCGGCTTCATGTCTTCCTTTCCATCTTCAATATCCGTGGTCCTCCCGCAGCAGCCACCTGCAACAGCAGTTCCCTTGCTCTGCAGAGCTCCACACCTGCTCGTTCCTGTTTCTCCTGCTCAGTGGGAGATGTTGCTGCCAGACTGTATCACTGAGTATTGTTGGCCTGGTGTTCTTGCTGCTTAAGGGGCAGTTGGTACTGTCTGTCAATCAAATCAGTTTGGGTGCTGTAGCCATAAAGCATATTGGGATCTAGATGTTGTTGCAAGTAGCAGTTTCAGGTGGTACAGGTGTGGCTGGTGTGAGCTTTACAGTAAAAGCTTTCTCCTTTCCATGGCATAGTAAGTAAGCATGACATTTAAACACGAAGTGACAGACATGTGCCTCCTTCTAGGGTAGAATATTCACCAGAAGACTGCAGGTGTTTTCAGGTGTACAAGTTGTTCAAAAAGCATCACTTCAAACCTGATGTGAGTGTTTGTTTTTAGTTGTTTGTGTTTATGTATGATATGATTGCAAAATATTAATAGCTCAATGTGATTAGTAAGTGTCTCACATAATTGGTTCCCGTGATCAGACTAGATAAACTACTGTGTGTTTCTAAGGAAGTACTTGTATAGTGTAAATTCAAAATTTTTTATTCTATTCGAATGCTCCTACATTTGTCTTGAAAGATTTTTTTTCTGCAAAAGCTGCTTTTCCCAGAAGACTAAGTTATCCCAATTTCACAAGAACTGATTACCAGAGACCATAGGGCTGGTCAGAAATAACTGATAACTGGACGAATATCTATGGGTTTTTTTCACAGTTTCTTTTTAACACTGTATTTTGTACTAATAGCACAATTTAGTTGCTGTTCCTGGTCTATTGATGCTGCTATGGTTTTTTGCAAGGTGACAGTCACTGGTACTTCCTAGTCACTGGGGACTATTTTCAATGTGCAATTTCCAGTTTGATTCACTGTATTTTGAAAGAGCTGCAACAAATTCTTCAGTGTCTCCCTACGTCATCTTTATCATGGCTTTATTGTAGTAGAAGTTGTTTCTGTTTATTTGGATTCTACTCTTATTACAGGTGCCTTACTTGATCAAGGCTGAAACATTTTTGTTGAATTCATAGTTCATTATCTGTTTGCTATAGGTCACTTTTTTCAAATATAAACAGTGAGAGGTCACAGAACATTTAACTTTTCATTTTTAAGAACAATCTAAAAGCTTAGTTTTATAACTGCAGGTTTGATTGACATTTAAAGTCTTTCTTTTTAAAAGCAAGATCATCTAGAGGGCATTGAGTTCTGAAGCTTTTCATTTGCCCATTAGACTGATGGTGATTCAAGAGTTTGAATGGGTTAATTTCTGTCTTCATTAATGTTTTGAATAAAAGTAAAGCTCACAGCAGCATGCTTAGAGCTGGAGGCAGTCTAGTTGGTATTAAGATTGCTGGGTTCAGCTGAGATCTCAAGTGTTTGAGAGAGGGAAGCTCCCTGGAGTATGGGGAACATCTTACTTAGCAAATTTAAGCATCTGAACGTCAAGGTTCCCTAAGGCACTGAGGAATCATGAGGATTTTTTTTGTTTTACCTGCAGGTGTTCGTCTGGATCGAGTCCGTGGAGGCCGACAGAAATACAAGAGGAGACTGGATTCTGAGAGCAGCACTTACCTGAGCTTACAGATCCCTCCCCCAGCTAAAAAGCCACGTATGTATTAGCCTTGAATTGTTGCCCTCTGAGCAGCCACTATATTTCTTTTCATTGATCTCCCAAAATGTACAGAATAGCAGTTGTCACTTCAGATTCCTGTGTCAGTCAACAGCACTAGGATTTTTTTCTTACAATCATAGTGTAGAGGTAGATTAGGTGGGCCTAAGGTACAGCTCAGGTACTGTTATTCATTAGGGTTAAATACAAGACCTTTCCTAGGAGATTATGTAAATCCATTTAGTGATAGTCCGATCTTTTCCTTTACCCAAGCTATGTTAACAAAACCAGTCCGATGCTGATTTCTCTTTTTAATACTACCCATAGTTCTTTAAACTTTTCCACATCCCACCAACTCCTTTGTGTCTCCTTCTCCCCTTGTTGGACCCTGTTGAGACAATGGCTGACAACATTACAGCAGCTTCCTGCTTTTGTCATCCCAGTGCAGAGCTGGCTTGGCACAGGCGGATCACTACAGCTTGTGTAGCTGCAGTGTAGTCTTCTCCTGTTGTCACCAAAACCATTACTGAGGTCCTATGGGTTCTGTAGTCATGTCTTATCCCAGGAGGGTCCACCTTTTGTCATGAGAAATATAACAACAACTTTTCCTTTGAAATGTGCAGTGACTAAGATCGTCTCCCACTTGCTGGTGGCTGAGCCAGAGAAGATTTATGCCATGCCTGATCCAACCATGCCAGAGAGTGACATCAAAGCCCTTACAACCCTCTGTGACCTGGCAGACAGGGAACTGGTGGTGATCATTGGCTGGGCAAAGCACATCCCAGGTAAACGGAATTACAAGGGTGTAACATGAACAGCAAAGGGAGCTATTATTTATCTCTGCAATTATCAGTTTTATCTTCAACCAGGTCTTTTTCGTGTAGTGATGCATGGAAAGTACCGTCACAGAAAACTGCTTGTGGTGGGCTCTCATTGGTAACAAACTCCAATGCAGCCTATGATGTAGGTGCATAAATCGATGACTCTGTATGTATGTGCCCTGGGATTATGCAGAAGGCTTTGATATGATACAGTGAAGTTCTCTGTTGTATTTGGCATTGAGTGGCTCAGTGAAAGCACTTGGAAAACAGCCTTTGGGATGGTACAGTGGACTTTTGTGATCTTGTACTACATCAACATGACCTTGGTCTGTTGTATTTATAGATGAATAAATGTTATGGCAGTGACTGGACTTTACTGCTAATAAAAAGGCAGGTACTCACCATGTCTGTAGTGGATGTTACAGAATCACAGAATATTCTGAGTTGGAAGAGACCCACAGGGTTCATCAAGTCCAACTCATAAGTGAATAGCCCATATAGGGATCAAACCCATAACCTTGGCATTACTAGCGCCAGACTCTAATCAGCTTAGCTAATTTCAGGGTCATTCTTGCCCAGACTCAGGAAAGCTTTTGTCATAATGGATTCATCACAGAACAAGTCCCATTGTGATAGACAACATGCTATTGTCAGTGAATCTCCAGGCTTCTATGTTGACAAATAATGAGGACAACTTATTGGCAGTGTGACTGGCCTTGGAAGGCTCATTGACTATATTCAATGCATGTCTGTGTGATTGAGTGGCATAACAAGTGTCTCACACCTGCAGGTAGGGTGGACCCAGGCTGAAGGAGCATACATAGCCATCAAGAAAGTTCTGAGGGCAAAGATTTGGACTGGGAAGGGGAAATGCCCTCTCCCTTTCTAGTCTCTCTCCAATCCCTCCAAAAACAGATAGGTTGGATCTGTGTGTAGAGAAGGCTGGCCAGGGAAATCAGGGGATATCCTTGGGGTTTACATGGCTGCTTTCCAAGGATTGCTTCAGACATTCACTATGAACAGCGCACTGCAGCTATAAACAGCTTACTTCAGCTACCTCCTTGTCTTCTGTCCCTCTTCCTTGTGTCAGGAGAATATCCAAGGCTCTACTACAGGATCACAGGATTTATTGCATGTTATCTCTGTCTTCCACTGCATGGATCTGTGTTCTCTTTCTTTGCTTCTTGGCTTTAAGTTCTTCGGTGTTTGGTGAGGCATCTTAACAAGACTGATCAGAGTTTAGTTCTCCCATGTATTTTGCTTCTTTCTGTAGCTCCTCTTTTGGCTTTTTGGTAGCTGCTTCTCTTTTTCCAGAGGGAGTATTTCTCAAGTGATTCAAGAGTTAGTGGTTTTCTGAGCTATATGGAATATGGATTGTTATGAGGTGGGACTGTGAAGTCTGGAGAAACTTTTTCAGGACAGTGTTTCTGAGTAGAGGTTAATCTTGGTGGTGCCCTTCTTACAAGAGATATGCAGTATCTGCAGGGATTACACCCATCACTAGTGCTGGAATCCATCTGGGGCTGATTCATCACAAGTGGAGTTACAGTGGTGATTAGGGAACTCAGCCTGGATTGCTCTACAAACCCAATACTTGGGGTGTTAACAGGAGTGGCTTTAAGGCAATGCAATTAGCTGCTACGGCTTTCCAGTGAGGTGCCATTGTACGTTCCTCTAACCTTGGCTATTTCTGTTTGCACAGAGGGCCCTGCTGTAGTTCCCCAGCTTGTGGCAGTGAGATGAGCATGGGATGCTCAGTTCTGAGTTCCTACTGAGTCTTCCAGCCTGGTGATATTATCCCAGAACAGGAGTATAGTAGAGATTGCTCCCGCACCGTGAAAGAGGCTCTTCCTCTCCTTTCTGAAAGCAGGACATACCTGCTATCATCTCAGATTTCTCTGTGTATTTTTCTCTCCTGCAACCCAGTAACAGCCACAGCCTGGCACAGTTCAGACCAGCAGCAGTATTATACAACAAGACTGTGTGCGCGTGAGAGAGCTCAGGGATTGTTAAAGTGAGCAGTACTGAGAAAAAACGTAATAAAAGACAGTTTATAAAAATGGAACAAAAAAATCTGTAGTTCTGGAACAAGTATGAAACATACTGAGTTAGGCAGCAAGGGGGCAGAGCAGGGTAGGGCCAGGAGACTGCCACATGTCTAAATTAACCATGCCCTGTAGTTCTGCCTTCCAAGGATTTTGAACAAAAAGTGACATTGCTTCCTGTGTGCATGAAACCTTGGTCAGAGAAGGATGGAAAAAGGAGAAAAAGTTACATATTCCTGCCTTGTATTCACACTGGAATTAGTAAAGAATGGTGTGACATTAAAGTCACACCAACCCTTTAGGATCCCAAGTATCAACACAAACCTCTGCCCTACAGTCTTAGCAAATAAAATCAGTAAAGCTTAAACACACTCTCCTATGATAATAATAATAATAAAGCATGATTTAATAGTATTTAGAAAATGTTATTAGCTCAATAGCCTTATTAGCTATTAGCTCAAAAGCCACACTTAGCCAATGTGGAGTTGTGCCCTTCCCCACTAGTCACTCTCCCCCCATGCTAATTGTCTTTGAACAATATCCACCTTTTCTCTTGCTTTGATGCAGGGTGACAAGACTTCTCTTGAGGGGTGACAATGAAGGCTCTCCCAGGGTAGCTGTTGTACTATTCTCACCAGGAAGACGATAGTACTAGCACAGAATGAAATATGGCAAGTGGAGTGACAGCAGCTGTGTCTGGAGTGGCCTCAGATCCTATAATTACATCTCCTTTTATTACCTCTGCTAATGGCCCTCCAGGATGACAGAAATGATAATAAATTAACAGATTATGAACTCCACTTGCCACAAATTATGTGACTTTTTTTTTTTAATTTGGGAGCTCCCACTGCCAAACCACTGAAATAAAAAAGAAGATTGTAGAAAAAAAATAAAAAACCTGAATGTCACATCAGCTACTGCAAATAAAGCAGCTTTTCTCAAGCTGCACCTGGAAAGGAGGGAAACATACATGCAGCTCTGTGCTAGAGCCAGGGGCTTCTCTTTTGGGAGCCTAGGGATGGCAGTGGTGCATTAAGCAGCACCCTTCAGGATCAGACTTGAGAAAAGCAGCAAAAAACAGATCACCAAGGGTATTTGCTGGATGCTCAGGAATGCAAAAGGGTTGGATTCTCACAATTCATGGGGGCTTAAGACAACCAGGCAGTTAAATTTCACAACTAGAGATTCCCTGGTGTTATAATCCTATAATAGCAAGCCTATGATTTTGGCCAAGTAAAATTAGCATTTACTTTTTCTGATCTCAACTTTGATAACATGTGAGAGTTATATGATCTTCTTCTTTTCTCATCTTGCAGTGATTCAGGCATAGTCCTTTAGCCCTTGCATTCCACATGTGTAAATACTGGAGGCAAAGGGTCCCAATTCTGTCAAACATCTCAAGTCCAGGCTTGACACCACAGCATTCCCTCTTCACACGCTCTGCTGGAGCTGAAGTCCTTGGCTACCTGGGAATGCTTCTGGCCAGGGGCTTTCCCAGATGGGTGGGGCAATTGCAGCTGGCTCTCCTATTCTTCTTGGCACAGGTCATGTTCCCTCCTGTTCTCACCTATCTTAACAGCCTCTGGAAAAGGGTGATTAACCAAGATGCTGAATGTACAGGTTACTGCTAGGGTTAAGTAATTTTTTCTACTTTATTCTGTACCAGAAAAGTATGAGCCATGCCTGTCCTGGATCCTCTTGCTCTATTACATGGCAGTTTCTCAATCTTTAACAAATTTTGTTGGCAGGCTGCAGTGAGGCAATGGTGTAACCCCTTTTATAATCCAAACAGGGAATGAAGATGCAGAAAGGCCATATGACTGACCCAGAAAATGGACTTAAGGCAGCAGCCTAAATGCTGGACTGATCTCCGTGGTCAGAGCTAGGAGAGGGGTGACCAAAGGAGGGAATTCAGGTTCTAAAGACTGCAGCAGTGGCTGTGCACAGACAGCATCATTACCTCTGTCTCAGGGCTAATCTCATCAGTTACCTGTCTAGCAGGCAGAACTGGGGAGACATGATCCCAAGCTTTTGAGCTGCATCACCCTACACTTGGACTGAGTCAGGAGGGCTGCATTCCAGAGCAGCACAATTCTGAGTGGAGGGCATAAGGGGCAGAAGGGTGAGGCAAAGGACGAGGCACCCACCTCCCAGCCTGAGCAAGAGGTAGGATTAACCAGGATTTAGAGCTACATGGAACACAGGCCGTGCTGTACAGGAATCAGTCTCACAGTCATGGAGCTGGATTTGCAGCTCTTCTCTCTAGTAGCCTGGACTCCTCTTTAGCTGTTCCCTCTGACACTCCTCCCCAATGGTTTATTGATTCTTCCCTCCCACCCACTGCTCCCCTCAGACCTTGCACTCACAGCACGTGACAGCTGATTGGTATCTGTTAATTAATGTGGCCTGGGGCCTCTTTTCTATTCAGTGGCCTGATAAGGGAAATTGGATGTCCAAGGGCTGCCAGGCCATTATCACCCTGTGCTTCCCCTGGCAACACAAACACAAAACATGGCGTAGAGATAAATAAATACCACTAACCCACCCTTCTGCCTTCCCATCCCCAGCTGAGATAGTGCAGATAGAAAAAGAGATCCCACAGTCAGTCAATATAGCAATCATCAGCTCTTTTGTTAATTGCCAACTTGATAACAAGAGAAATCAAATTATTATCATGGTGGCTGGCTACGTAGGCCCTGACGTGGGGCCAAGAACTGTGAGCAGAGAGGGCTGTGGGATAAAGGTGTCCAGCTGACCCTTGAATGCAGCCAGTGGGCTGGGAGGCTTCTGCACAGAGGCTCATGAGCTCACAGGTCTCTTGGTGATCCGAGGCTTAATATGCATCTGGGGAGAAAACTAGCAGGGGAGATTGGTGGAGCATCGCTCTCCTAGCTGAGAGGTGCCTAGGTGTCCTGTTCTCTCACAGCTCTAGGAACCTTTAGAAGGAAGGAACTGTCAAAAAAGTCAGTTTCTGCCTGTCTGTGATGGGCAAATCTGCCTAGAGGGGACCAACACATGGTACATGACATTTTTGTTTGTAATGGCTGTTATGGTGCCCATCTCCCAGGATCTTTCATCATTTGGTCTTCAAGGGTAGCTGGTATGGAGGGCATAACAGACACAGTTTTCCTTCTCATTAACTTTCCCCCCCCCCTTGAGGTGGAGAGTGCCTCTATGTTTTGTCCTCTCTGCTTTCTCAAGTAGACTCTGGGGATGTCAGGGTCTATCTCCAGATGGTGATTGCTCTTTCCGTATTTGATGAGAATATTTGGTTCATTGCTGGGTGCTGGTTCTACTGCTACCAGGTTTGGCTGTGATTTAGGTACTTGTAAGGCACCATAAAGGTATTTTTGTCACTGGGTAGGGTTGTTGGCAGAGCTGATAGTGTGGAGATCAGGATGTGATGAGGAATAGACAAGGATTCTGTTTACAAATATATTCAGCTTTTGAACACATTTTGGTGCTATGTTGTGACTGGACCTTTTCTCATGTTGGCCAAAGTCTGAGATTGTAGTTTACTTGCAATTCAGGCCTATGTCATTCCAGTCTATCACATCAGAAGCCCTCTTTTCTGCCATCTGGAGATCTTCTCTACTCTTTGGTCCCAGCTGCAGTACAAACCTACAAGAGGAACAGTGAGCAGGGCAATATGGTACAGAACAGTTGCTGCTATAAAAAAAACCCAGTGATCATTGAAACAAGGTTATCATTAACTTTGGGCTGCCATAAATGCAATCAGAGCATCAGAACTCCTGTTTGAGACTGTGGGTGGGCATGGGAGCAAAGAGAAGGATAAGGTCCATATGTGCTGATTGCTACAGAGATAGGTTCACTTTAGTGAGCTTTTTTTGTTTTTCTTGACAGCAGCAGGCCAGTAGGGAAGAGTGCTTGGTTTGAATCTCGGGACACTAAGGACCTTAGGCTCCTAGAGGCTTTGCTGCTCACCCATTTGACCCTGCTTGTCTTTTGCCCTGTCAGGGTTCTCCAACCTCTCCCTCGGGGACCAGATGAGCCTTCTTCAGAGTGCTTGGATGGAAATTCTCATCCTGGGCATTGTGTACCGCTCCCTGCCATATGAGGACAAGCTGGTCTATGCTGAGGACTACGTAATGGATGAAGAGCACTCTCGTCTGACAGGGCTGCTGGAGCTCTACCTGGCCATTCTTCAACTGGTGCGCCGCTATAAGAAGCTCAAGGTGGAAAAGGAGGAGTTTGTCACACTCAAAGCTCTGGCCCTTGCCAACTCAGGTACAGCCCTGGCCCAGCCAGCCTTGCAATCAGGGAGTCAAGGCTCAAGCTGTTATTTGGGAAGAAACTAGAGCCTACCGCCTGAGACTGCTCTGCTTGTGTCGCGCAACATTCTCAAAGCTCCTCTCTGTCCACAGAGCAGGACTTAAGCTGGAAAGCAGGGAGAAATGAGGCTTACTGCTGCTGCAGCCCCAGCTGTGCTCTGGCCCTGTAGTAGAGAGTGGAACCAGACAGGGATGGGCTAGCTGCTGGTTTCTAGAAGTAAAAAAAGCCCTTCTTCATTAGCAAACCAACTCCAGTGCCATAAGTTCGGAAAAGGGAATGTGGACCACACCTGCATCCACCTCGGTAGTGTTGGTCAGGTACAAGCAAACAGGGAAACCCCTGGTCCCAATTTCAAATGCCACCAAAAACTGTGGGGTTGAAGCTGCCTGGTCCTGTCCTGGAGATGTTCAGTGACCACAGATACTGAATTCCCCTTTAACTGGGAGACAGTGTGGGTCTGGATTACAGCCCTCAATTGATCAGGCTGCAGTGTACAAAAGCTGGACAGGCACATATTTGCTCTGAAGTCCCATCTCAAAGGGAAACTGCTAAAGCTACTGTGTGACGAGGGCTCCCTCTACATCCCGAGTCTCATTGTCTCGCACCGTAGCTCCTTGCCGAACCGCATCATGCAGGTCAAAAAATTCACCCTTGCAGCCCAGCCTTGAAACCAGTATCTGTGTTTGGCTAAAGCTGTTTTACAGAAAGACACCCTGTGTGAAGCTGGAGAGATTAAAAGAGGGTGAATCTACATCTTCCACGGTAGCTGACTCTAATAATTAATTGTTCTCTCAGGTGGTTTTTTTTTTAAAAAAGGCATCATATCTTTAATGTCTGTTTGCCTGAGTTCAGCCTCCAGAGATGAGTCTTTGTTGAGCTGTGTCCTATGACTCCAGGTCTTTTTATACCTAACAGCTTGCCACGATAAAGTTCTGTTCCTTAGTTGTATTCCTTGGCTATGGATATATTACTTCAAGTGTAAGGTCCAGGATGCTGTGAGGCTGCCGTATCCCACCATTTTACACCATTCTGTTCATCTTTGCCATCCATACAATTCATAGCAGTAGCAAGGTAAAAGAAAAAAATAAAAGAAATAAATTTCTTACAGCCCATTGATAAAAATGTTGAGCAGCATCTGTTTTTTTTACTGATCCCCTGGATTTTCACTAGAAAACTCCTCCTGCAGGGTTGATTCACCACTGACAGCTACTTTGAGATCTGTCATCTAGCCAGTTACTAATCAATTGAAAGTATTTTTTATTGATATTGTATAGTGCTAATTTTTTAATGAGAATGTCCTGTGGTCCTAAGACAAGGGCCTTATAAAACCCCAAGTCTATTATATCTGTGCAGTTAACTTTATCAACCAAACTTGTAATCTCATCAGAGAATGAAATCAAGTTTATTTGACAAGACCTCTCTTTCAAAGTATCATGTTGACTGGCAGTAGAATCACCGAATCATTTAGGTTGGAAAAGACCTTTAAGATCACCAAGTTCAACTGTTAACCCACCACAAAACCATGTCCCTAAGTGCCACATCTGCATACCTTTCATAAATGTCATCAGTCTTAATTGAATGTCACCTTTATTTTTTCCTTTATTTTTGCCTTGGTTCACATCAGGCTAGCACAGAAATTGTCAGATAAGACCCAGGAAAATATGTGCGTTATTAGAAATTTTTCAGTCATCTTGAATTTCTTAAAAATACCAGGACTTTTAATCATTCATCTGCCCTAGATGGCCCTCAGCCAGCAATTTTAGAACTGTTAAAGCCAAGATATCCAGCTCTCCTATTTCTGTGAAGTTTGCCCTAATAGTTCTAATATGTTGTTGCATAAACAAGAGACTAAGAAATCATCATCATATAACACAAGTACGTAATGCTTCTCTTTTCTAAACAAGACAGAAATACTCATTGAGGACTTCTGCCTTCGCTGCACTGCTGTTAATAGTTTAATCATCTCCAGGTGAAAAGATACGCCTTACAAATGATCATTTTTCTTCTATTTCTTAAATATTTATAAAACTTCTTTATTGTCCTTAGCCCTTCCAGCCATGGCTTTTCCTCCTATGTCCTTCACTTCCCTTATCGATTTTCTACACTTCATAACTTCTGATTCATATAAATTGCTATCTAGCTCCCTTTTTCAATTTCTCATATATTGCTTTTTTAGCTCTAATTGCTGCCTTCACTTTGCCACTGAACCAGGATGGGCAGATGGCCAAGGCTGGCGTCTCTCGACTGTGGAACGGTGGCTTTTGGTGATGTAATCAACTTGTTAAAGAACCTGTCTACCAGGAAGGTCATGGGATTAAACAGGAAGAAGGGCTCCTCAGAAAGGCTGAATTGCTAAGGTAGTGGTTGTGACAGAATAAGTGTCCCACATTTATCTGGCCCATGCTATGAGCAGAGACACTGCAGGACCTGAGCCTCAGTGCTGTCAAGTTCTTCACAGTGCAACGGAAGCACTCTCTGCTGTTGTTGCTCACTGTGCTTTGAGGACTAAGCCCAGAGTAAGCCTTATGAGACAGCATCTATCAGGAATGGAGAAACACTGAACAAAGACAGAGCAGAACAACCAGCACTCATCAGATGTTTTGGGGTTCTGATTCCAGTGGTGTGGAGTAAAGAAACCAAGGTAAAGGTTAGGAAGTACAGGCCAAAGCATGTTCTCAGCTGGATGGAAAAATCCCCTCTGACTTCACTGGTTTCTCCTACTGCAGCTAGAAGTGCAGCTATGTAGGAGCATAATCCACAAAAATATTGCTTTGTTATTTGTATTGAAAGATATGAAAGTAAAGCACAAGATTTTGTTTTTCATGTAATTAAAACTTCTCCCAACACATGCATAAGGAAGCTAGAATAGGGCAAGTGTATTTTTCTAATGTAACTTAACATTCAACCTTCACATTCTTTTAATACCAGTTCTTTTTTGTCATGTATTTTTGACATGGATAAACGTCTGCAAGTATGTGCCTGCATGCAAACAGCTGATTGCTAAAACGGTGGGAAAGCAGTCTGGACCAGGCTTCAGCTCCCTTGAGTCAGAAATAGGGTTTAAAGATGAGCACTTAGATTAGCACCTGTGCTGTCTAAACCTGCTTTCTGCCTTCCCTCCCATATAGAAAAATTCTTGAATTTTCCTTATCCCTGCTGGGTATAATTGCTCATGCAACCCAGGTTCAAGGGACTTTCCTCTCTTCCATGCGGCCCTGTGTATATTGACCCTTTGTTTCTAGGAATTCAAACAAATGAAAACAGAAGTGGGAGCTCAATTGCTCTTCACCAGAGAAGAAGCTGACAATGGGCTGATCTGAGTATGCAGTGTGACACACCAAGGACACACCTGCTGGGACTGGCAAAGATAATTCAAGGGAACTTTGTCTTTAGTAAGTGCATTTTAGAGAGCTGAGCAATGAATTCTTAATGCCCAGAGCAGCAGGCAAGTCCCAACAATATGATCACCCATTTTTTGACAGAGTAGAGGTGCTAAGACTTAAGTCATTACCCTTCAGAGCCAGCAGTCTTTTTTTAAGCATTCCTAGGTCCTCTTTCTTTAGGATAAAAATTGATCAACCTATGTATTGAAGAGCTCTCCAGCTTAACATACAGCATACGCTCATTTTAGGACATACCAGATGGTCCAAACTTTATTTCCTCTTTTTTTTTTCCCCAATGCATTTTAATGCTGAGATGGAGTGAATAAGATCTGGATCTGGCAAGGGGATGTGTAGCAAATTCTGTACCAATGGGTCCTGTGAGGTTTCTGCTCCTGCCAGAAAATGCATGAGTTAGTTGAAGAGGCAGTGGGCTTTGTCCATTCTCATACCTGCCCTGTACCCCATGCCTGCAGTGCTGGAGAAGGGTTCCCGGCATGAAGCCTGGCTTCTAGGGCAGCTGACCCTCAGGGACACGGTCAGGCAGCCTACCCCCATCTCAGTGCTCTGACAGCTGTAAAAATTCATAGCTATTGATTTCGTAATTAACAGTTTATCAATGCCATCGATACCAGTTCACTGATGGATTGCAAGGAAATTAATCCTGCAATGTTGTTTTATTTTTTGCATCAGCTACCAATTTTGAGCTTTCAGCAGAGAAAGGTGGTGGTGGGGCAGGCTTTGATCTTTATTTCCCAAGTCCCTCTCACTGTATACACGTGGTTATTTAGTGCTGTTAAGTCTTGTCAATATCAGTACCCAAAACCAGAGCACCCACTTTGACCTGCAGCATGGCTCATTGCCTGGTACTTCTAGCACCCGCTGGGATCTGCAAACTCTGACAGGCTGTGTTTACTTCTCCTCCTTGTGCCTCTAGCCAGAAGGACATTAAAGAGAAAGGACATTTCCCTCCAAGTTTCAACTTTGGATACTTCCAGTCTCCAAAATGACCTCTGCGAATGAGTGAGAAACAGATCCTACTCACTTCTCCTGAATTGTGCATGGAAATTTTTCAAACGTCCTGCCTGGCTGGGAGAAGTTGCCAGACTGACTTGGCAACGTGCTTCTCCCTCCCTACTTTTCAGAATTGACCTCTGTGTCTAGCTCAGGTCACTGTGGTGACCTACCAGCCCTTCTCTGAGCTCCTTTGCCTGGTCTTTTGGGTGCAAAGTGTAAATGTAGCAAGAACAATTCTTCCTCAGTAGGCTTCCTGGGAATACAAGCCTTTAATATCCTCTAATTAGTGAATTCTTTCTAAACAGCTTCTTAAACAGCTTTCTTGCTAGACATAATATTTTCCCAACTGTTGTAATACTTTATAAATCATGCATCATAAATATTTTTAAATTAAATGTATCTTATGAAATTCACAGTCTCTGATTTGTGACTGTGTTCTCCATAGAGATGACACGTTTCTAGAGAGATTTTGGCAGTTCAGATGGCTTTCCTCCCCTTCACTGCTGTCACACTGGGGAACCCATGTCCTCACATTTGTGTTTGTGAGTGGGCTGAGCCAGAGCACTGCCACACTGCAAAGCCCAGGCTGTGGTGGCAGGCAGTGCAACTACAGGTGTGCATGTGTGCTTGCCAAAGTGTCCCTTTGCTGTTGCTTCTGGATTCATTGCCCTGTGGCAAGAATCTTTATCAATGGGTTCATTATCGATTAAAAGTCTCTGAATAATGAAGACATGGCAACAGTGTCTCCAGCTCTATCAGGGTTTTAAGAAAGAAGCAAGAGGAAAAAAGAGCAAACCTTCAGTGATGCTGTGCCTGGTTAGATTTTCTAATCAAACCTCTCTGCTCTTTGGTGCTGCCCTCTGGCATTATGACTTACCCACAAGTTTAGCAGCCTGTTCCACACGATTTCCTAGCTCGACCCTGGACTCAGTCATTACTAGCTTCATAGACACACCAAGGAACTGTCTAGCCTTGCAAACCCTGCTAGCCCCTCTGACAGCTTTTAGGAATCTAACTGGCAGCCTAAGGGAAGAGGAGGTGTGGGTTTCCTTTATTTAAGCAGGAAGCTCCCTGAGCAGCTGCTGGCAGTCTGAAAACAGGGGCATATGTACAAAGGTGGGTCTGGCAACACCCCTGGGCACGCTGGTTGTGACCTACTGGGGCTTTTCTGTCTTGCTGACACCCTGAGCAGCTGCAAGGCAATTAGGCAGTTTAGACAGATGAAGCGCTATAGCAGTGTTAATTATTCTTAATGAGATTGCTCCCAAGCGGCAGCACAGCAGCTGCTGCCCCTTGCAGGGTGACTCTCACCATAAGGAGCATGGAGGGCAAGTAAATGTGCAAATCACAAAGGCTCCTGGCCGGCCCCTGCACAGCCTTTGGTGGCTGGCAAAATGGGCAGCACACAGGGCACATGTGTCACCTGCCCCTGGCAACCTTACTGTCTCCGCACTGCTAGGGCCAACACACTGGGCTGCTGCCAAACCTCATAGCAGCACCAACACCTGCCAGAAAGGTGTTTTGTTCCCCTTAAGAAACAAACCAAACCAGCAACAACACTCCCACCCCCACTCCCGGGGGGGGGGTGGTGGTGGCATGGGGGAATGACAAAACCAAAAAAACCAACAACTACAGAAAAGAAGGAAAGAAAATACCCTTAACTTCAGAACCATAAAGGATTTCCTTCCTCATGTCTGACTTGTCTGTTTGCTGTCTTTTCTCCCTTCCCCCAGACTCCATGCACATAGAGGACATGGATGCAGTGCAGAAACTCCAGGACCTTCTCCACGAAGCCCTGCAGGACTACGAGCTGAGTCAGCGCAATGAGGAGCCCCGGCGAGCAGGCAAGCTGCTCCTGACCTTGCCCCTTCTGCGGCAGACGGCTGCCAAAGCTGTGCAGCACTTCTACAGCATTAAACTGCAGGGCAAGGTTCCCATGCATAAACTCTTCCTAGAAATGCTAGAGGCAAAGGTCTGACAGCCCCAGCGCCAGCCGACAGTGGCCGGGGAACAAACTAGAAACAAAGATGCAGACAATGGAGTAATCCAAACAGCAGCAGCAGCCATCGCCGGCTTTTATCTCCAATCATTTATTATGGAAGAATTATTTAATGTCTATCTGTCGGCGTGACTGCAGAATCTTGTGTACAGAAGGGGGGAAACTTTTAATCAGTCACCTGTTTCTCTTTTTTTCGTTGTTTTCTCTGTGGGAAATACCAGAATATGCTCTTGCACTTGTTGAGGCAGTCATCGGGGCTCAGCCCCTCTGATCAGCGATGCTCTCAGCGCTGTCCAGGCTGCCTGCTCCCCAGCTCCCTCCGCCAGTGCTGGAGGGGGAGTGGGGACAAAAGCAGGAAGAGAGGAAGAACAGTCAATATAAACTTTATCTGCTGGTGTTATGAGGGGTCAGTTAGAAAGGGAAGCAGCCGTGGTCCTTCTTTTTATCACCTTTCTGCCTCTAACCATAGAGCAGATGCTCCTTTGGAGAAGAGCACTGCTGGACCTCTCCTGAAAAAAAAGGCTGCCTCCCAGGCTCCTCTAACACTTGTACATACAGGCCCCACTTCTTACCGGGAAAGATGCTCCTAACTGTGTAAGATATTCTGCGACCTTGTACAGTGTGTCATTACGCCTGGCTAGTCCATCCCATGTACAATCCCTGCAGGCCCCTGAAGAGGTAGGATGTATGTCCCTGAGAAAATGCAAGTCTTTCCCAAATGGTGAGAGAAAAGAGCCTGATGTGCTGGGTTGACTTGATAATCTCTGCATCCTCTCCTATGTGGTGCTAACTACAATTCTTCCACACTTTTCACCCTGTAGTGTATCAAACCTGCCTCTTCAGCTCAGCTGAGTACCATTCCCCTCTTGTTCCTTGTGGCAGAGAACACAAGGTTTGTCTGCATGGTTACTGCCCAAGTATCAATACACCCCAAACCAGATCTTTCCTAGACTTCACTAAATGATAGTTCTTTGCCTCCACAGAGACTTAGGCTTAACGCCAAATTCTAGTTAGGAATCAAGGGCACTGCTTTTCAGAGGAGGCAGCTCCAGAGCCTGAGAGATTACTTTTTTGTGGCAGCCTAGGGAAATAAATTAGACGGTGGCATAAGACTCCCGATACTCCAACTACTGTCTTCCCCTGCCTCATCCCATTATCCTCAACAGCAGGAAAAGAGCAAACATATATTATACCTGGGGCTGTAAGACGTTCTCTTCCTGATCAGAAAGCAAATACCTGACCTTGGGTTGGTAGAAGAAGAACTGGAGGAATGTTTATTTACTCCTCTTACATACCCAGGTTTCTGCTGTCTCCAAGGCCTGGTTTATCAGCTTTGCTGCCTAAGCCATACCTGCTGCATTCTCAGTAGCCAGAGAGAAATGTAGGTGACTGACAAAACTGACTGCTGGCATTCTTTGAGACTTTATTTTCTAGGTCACTTAGTTTTAAGCCAGCCTGAGCTGACACAACCTGAGTGTCCTGTCTCTTTTGTGGTCAGCAGCAAGGCAGTAGAGGTGAGGAAAAGCCTCTGATCTACATTTGAGACACCACTGACTCTATTACCTCTGTTCTCCTCAAGCTTCCATCCCTTCCTGGCTTCCCTAGGAAGGAACTTGGCCTCAGCAGGAAGTCTTCCAAACCAGGGTTGCAGTGTGTGATCAGAGAGACACTGGTGCTTGTTTTCTACTGGAGCAGAATGTGTCACAGCAGGGCTGTCAGTGCTGCAGAACCCTGCCTGGCAGACTGAGCTATGGGTGCTGACTGATGGTGACCTCTCAGCTCTTGTAGCCAGCCCTCGCCTTGTACTTGAGTTAGTTCAGTTCATCTCCTTTGAGTTCTTCCTACGCTACACAGTCGTAGCTACTCTCACTGATTTTGTACTTGCTTGATAAAGGAATTCAGTCTTACTTCATGCATATTAGTAAACCAACAGAGACCTAAAGGGCAGAAGGCACGTGGGAACTGGAACTCCAACAGCAGTAGCAATTACACAGTGGTCTTGTGCTTTGAGCAGATAGTCGTGCTTCTCTCCCCAGCTCCCTCCCAGAGGCAGCTGGGGGAGAAAATGAGAGGCTTTTGGTTGCACTCATGGTCCCTGTACCCATCTGTGACCGAGGGACCAAAGTGAAATGCATGCCACTACTATAGAGCCAGCTCGCCATGTACTGCACTCTGGTAACTCTTCCTGGCTGTGGCCACTCCTGGAGTGCTTTTGCAGGTGTTTTATGTTGCTTTATTGCCTGTAAGTTTGACTCACTAGACCACTGTTGCAATCTTGCCAAGTATGACCCAGCTCAGCCACAGCACATTCTGTCCCAACTTGCTGCACAAAGGTAGCTGTCCCCAAATGGGCTGAAAAGATCCTAAGAAGCAATTCTTACTCTGTCAGGCCCTGCTGGAAAGGTCACTTACGTAAAAAAAAACAAAACAACACACCAACCAAAAAGACCCCACCAAAAACACCCACCCCAAAAAAAACCAAAAAGCTCTTCTATCTTTGTTGTATTTGGACTAAGGCTGCTTTCCAGAACAGAGAGCCAGAACTATTTACGAAACACAATTATGGAAAGCTGCCGAATTAACTTCTAGCTCACAGAAACTGCTGGCTATTTAGAGTAGGGCTATGGTATGGAGGAAACTCCTGCCTTGACAGAGCAATATAAAGATACCAAATGCATTTTTTCCCAGGAACTTCTTTCTCCATTAAAGCTGCATAACCTTGGAGCCCATCTGAATATCCTCCATTGCTTGAAGATAATATGCAGGGAAATGTTTCAATTGCTTGTGAAATAGGATGGGAACTGAACCAGACAGTACTTAGCGTATATTAATCTCTTTAAACAAGGAATGCAGACTCTCCCCAGGAACTGGGACAGAAACACCTGTCTAGATTTAACCCTTAAAAGGCTTGTACCATCCTAAATTGGGAACCAGGTCAGGTCTCTTGGGCCCTTCAGGCAAGTGCAGGAATCACATACACCTGTTCCCAGTTACTCTGATCTGCTGTGCATCACTGGTATTATCACACGGCCGCTGAGGAGCATTTCCAGAATGGTAACATCTTAGTGTAGTCCTCTCAGTGCACTTTGAAGGAGGAAATGAATCTTCAGCAACTGTTTAGGTCTTTGAATGCTCACAGTCTCTTATGAAAAGGTCTGGAGATGTGGAAGGTGAGACATGAACTAGGAAATGGGGTTTGGGTCAATGCTCTTATGCTGCTCACTTGTAATATAGGAGTCACAGAGTCAGATCCATACACCTGTCCTTCTTCACGGATCAAAAAATGATAGAGCTTGAGCCGTTGGGACACAAACGGGCTCTATGACTTAAAGAAAAGCAAAGCAGTAGAGGTAAGTATATCAGTGACAGTTAATAATATGAAGCGCACACCAGCAACTACAGTAAAAGCAGCTCCAGCCCCTGATTTGCATATGTGGATAACAGAAACCACGTACCTGTCAGCTACTACAAAAGGCAGTTCTTCCCAAGTGACCAGCTCTTCTGTTTCAGGCACATTCTTCTCTGGGAACACCAGTGTCTGGCCTGTAATGCAAAACAAATTTCATGGGGATCAATTAAAATAAAAGGTAAATTACCACACGGAATTTTGGTTTCTGAGGAAACTTGGGCATTACACCTCGCAGCAAAACTGTGAAGCTACAAGAAATGCCCCCATAACAATCAGGACCTTGCAGTATTGCTCATGCTAAGGGGGCATTGTTTTTCTCTTCATAAGCTCTGTCATCTTTTTTTTTAAACTATTATAAGTATATAAAATAAAACATGCTGCACCAGAAACATGTAAGCAGCTATTAGAGGGGAAAGTCATTGAGAAAGACCCTAGAATGTAACTTGTTGAGCTTATATTACCAATCAGAGCTAAGAAAAAAGAGCTTCCACTTTGTATCCACAAGCTATAGTCAATCATATGGCCAAAGGTCACTCTGTTGTTCTTGCGGCTGGGTTATGTGGAGAAGTCAGAGAGAGACAGAGGCTGTGAGAATGATGCAGGGAGTCATAGATGGTGAAATAAACAGTATCTACTTAACTATTATCTGCTCCTAAAAAAATAAAATAAATAAAATAAAATAAAATAAAAAAGAAAAACCTGTTAAATAAATTGTATTCCTGTGGTACAGGTCATTTCAATCAAAACAAGAAATAAAACACAGAAAAGTAAAAACTAACCCAGACAGAGTAATGTTTATTGTGTTTAGGAGGTGGTCTGTTCTGTCCCTTGGGATGCACATAGCCTTATAGAAGGGGCCGGTGTGAGGGAAGGTGTGATCTGTGCATGCTGCAGAAGGGGAGGAGAGCACCAGTCCTCTCACTTAGAAATGCTCATTTGGTGTTTTCCCATATAAAAACCACTTCTCAGCAAGCTTCTGAGTTTTTGTGAGATGAGCTTTGCTGAGGACTTGTTAAGACAGGCACTGCTGTCAGTCTCTGCCATGGACCAGTCTCTTCCACTCACCTGTTTTCTTCCCACATTCTACACTTCACTGGTACAAGGAATAATCAGGAGCTAGCAAGGAAAAAGTCTTGAAGTTATTCCAGTGAAAAACAAAACCTCTCATTATAAAATAGACTGCTGGCTTAAACCCAGCAGTGACATCATGAATGTTGCAAGCGTAACAACAGCTGCACAGTGCTGAAGTCATGGCATTTACATTGATCTAGTGGTCAAGTGGTGCAAGAGGGAAAGCTCATAGCTGCTTGAGAAAGCAGAAGGAAATGTGCTGTGGCAGTTGGGGCAGAGATGTGAGAAACAAGGACCCAGGGTTTTATTTCACCTCTGATTCTATTGAATACAGACAGCATCACACTCTGTTTAAGCACCTCCATCTCCACATGCCTCAGCCAACGCTGCTAAGGTCCTTCTGGGCAATGGCACTCACTGCGATGATGCATCTAAACCAGGCAATCAAAAGGCCTCTTGGCCTGCCCTCAGAAGAAGGGGGTAGCTGAATTATTGGTGGCTAGTAAGAAAGTCCATGGGCTAGAAATGAGCTTGAATGAAAAAAAAACCAAGATGATCACAAAGCTGGAGAGGGAGGTGAAGCACAGTAAGAGCTTACACTTACAAGAGCTACCCCTAGCCCAGTCACCAGCACTCTGACTCTAACAGGCTCAATCTTTGAACCAATAAAATCCCCTTCCAAGTTCACATAGGCAGCTTGCAGCCCACCTACATTGTGTGCATAGGTGCTCTGAATGTTGTATCTACTCACAGAAGGTTTAGATTTGGCCACCACAGTAGGAATTTAAAATGGACTGTACTTCAGGTTAAATATACCACAGGGATGCTACATATATGTGTATATATACATATATATATATTATATATATATATATTATATAGTTGATCTGTGGCTTTGCAAAAGCAGTAGTTTTGGGGTTCTGAAAAGTGTATGTGGCACTGGAGTTGATGGTGTTAAGAGATTAGTAAGGGTAGCCAGAGGACTACAGAGAGCCTCGGCCCCACTCTTCACACACCATTCAAGGATTGTGAGTTCCTTGGTCCCTTATTTCTAAAGTGGAAGCTGCCTCCCTGGGAGTTCTTCTCCTTTGTCTAGGTCTTTTGAGGCTTTCCTTATTTTGCTTACTAGTGTTCACTCACACTGGAATTAAAAAAAAAGGGTGAGAGAATTGTCTTCATGGTAACTACACAGAGCATTGGGAGAAGCAGAGGCCAACCTGATATTTCCTCTTACAGAAGAGCTTCACAGGAAATACTAGGAAAATACTCTATTTTCTCTGATCAGGTGGGGAGGAAAGAAGGTTTCTTTACTAGTCAATGTAGAGTTCTCTAAACACATTTTTCTCCCCCAAGTTTAAGCCCTTCAACAGGTCCTGGGCGAGGCTAGAAAAGTCAGCTCTGAGAGTAGCAGCATCCAAATAAAAGTAGGAGTGAAGTCACAGGAAAGATTAGAACTGGCCAGAGGCTCAAAGCATTTTTTGCAAGAAAAACTGAGAAGACAACAGCTACCACTGACTCATCACAGATTTGCTAGAGACTTCAGTGCTTCATAGATCCCTTCATAAATGCAATGAATCACATGCCTACTGCAACCATCTCTTGGCAGCACATGCATCTGTGTTGTTTCAGATCACAGACCCATTTAGACCAGTGCCCCCTCCGCTAACATGGCCAGCAGCAGATGATCAGAGAAGAATGTAAAAACATGGCAAGGAGGTATAATTAAGTCTCCCAGCAATTTAAGGATCAAAGACTACCTGAGCTAGATATGTGATCTTTGCATTTAACACCCCTCAATGATTTTTCTCACATTAATTTCTCCAGTTCTCTTTTCAAACACAAGCATTCATCCTTCACAGAACCCTGCAGCAGTGAGTTCCATGGATCAGCACTCAAAGAAGTATCTCCTTTGCCTACTCTGAGTATACCATCAGCTCATCCTATTTCATGCTCCTACAGCTTGTATTAGAAGACAAACAGTCCCCTGCTCACTTTTCCTTACCATGCACAGTCTTTTACGTCTCTTGATTTCACCCACCTTCATTAATTGCATTTCCAGCATTGTAAATTCTTTTCCATCGCAACACTGAAAGCAGTCAATGCTAGAAGTAATTTTCTATTACCATTTACATTATTAAACTCAAACACATTAACCAAACTTGTTTATATTTTCTGTCAATGGGTAATGCTACTACAGATCCATGATCTTTTGGGTCAGTTTTAGGAAGTATAGTTTCATCAGATATTTTTCAATCTAATGAACCCTTGTAACCAAGCCTAGGGTAATCACATATTAATCCCATTAGTTTTGTCATTGCATCATAAAAATTCATCAGTGTCCTAAGGGAGTAATGCTCCCAGCATTAGTACAGGTGTCACCTTTTCAGGGTGCTATCCCCAGTTCTTCCACTGCCTTGAGCACTTCTAGCTCAGACTCACTTTTTCTAGCTGCAGAAAATATAAATCCTTACTGCTGCTTCTGCACATTTCTTCTTTTCATCACTGCTCTGTTTCTCATTATGAGGTTCCTGCTATGATCTAGCCTGTTTCCCTTGATAATCTTTGATATATTTTTGTTTCTTCACTAATGGATGATCTCTCTTTCTCCTGGCTCCCTCCTCCTGTCCTATTTCTGACACAATGACCATGTGGGTGAGGAGGCCACCAGTGAATATCCAGTCCCCTGTGGCAGCTGACCATACCAAGCTTCTCCAACCCCCTGGCAAGATAGACTGTTCCACCTCCTTTAAAAACAAGGCCCCTGTGGCTAGCAGCCAGCTCACTGTTCTGGATGCCTTCCACTTGGAAGGAGGGTCACTCCAGCTAACTCCACTTTATTGTTTCCCATTGCTGAGGCTTTGCTAAGATGTCCTGGCTTTCTGGTCCTGCAAGGAATGAAATGCCACCCAAACGACACTCACCAAACCAAGGGGAGGGCTACAGGAGCGCACTTGTAAAATGACACTGTTGATGCCATTTGGGCCAGATTATCCTACTTATGTTTGCAGACAGGAACGAAGTACAGGCCTGAGGCACAGTGCATAGTCAGACTACATCACAGCAGCTTCTGCAACAGCTCCAGTTAACTAGACAAACTATGCCAAATCACAGAAATACCACACTCACCTCAGGCTCCACTGCACAACCTGAGAGAACCTCAAAATCCTGACGGCATAAGCAGGCAAGGCCATGCAGCAGAGCAGCACACAGCGATATGGTGTTGCCAGTGCTTTAATTAGAAAAGCTGCATTCACATGATGCTGTGTTCACCTGGCAAATTAGCCCAAACTGAGTTACAGCAATTATAGAAACACCACCAAATTCACACTCAATGATCAAAGAAAATAAAAACATTTTACAAATAAATCATAAACACCTTCTAAATGTGCCTAGAAATGTAAACATGAGAGAAACAATCAGTAAAAAAGAACAAAGCCTGCCTGGACATACATTGAGCTCTGTTTCTCCACTTGCTTGAATCAAGAGAACACCTTGCCTTTTCGAAAGAAAAAGAAAATGCCTGGACTAACTTAGGACCTGTGTACTCTGTCATCTGTAAATGAGCAAGTGGACAGGCAAATTAAATGTTTTAAGTTTACCAAAATGATAAAGTTATTATCATAACTATAAAAATACTATGTAAAATTCTAATTGATATATAAGCAAATGTGACAGCATGTTGCAGATCTTCCCTGAGCCTGTCAGCCTGTGCTGCAGGCAGAGTAAAGCTGTGAGAGGAGTAGAAGCTTCCTACCCTGAATGGTTTCTGAACTCTGTAAGAGACTGCAGCTGGATAATGCCACTGCCCAGCACACTGAGCCATAATAGCTCAGCACTTCCTTCTGCCACCCATTGCCTATTGCAAGTCTTTTGGGCAGGAGCCTCCTTTTCATTCCATGGCTGCTCACTGCACACAAAACAGGCCCCTGGCTTACTCTTCTTCCCTGGGGCATGGAGCATGCAATTAAGTATATCCTAAAAAGTGGCTGAAACCCAATATAAGTGATGCCTGGGACCTCTCAAATTGTGGGAGACTTAATAACTGCATTGGATGAATCAGCCTGGACTAGGACTTGAGAACTGTCTTGGGTTTTGCTTTTCACATGGAACATGTCCACGAAACAGGGTATCCATGACTTGTTCCAGAGTTTGTGGTTATCCTGTGTCCCAGAGCATATTGCTAAGTTGCTCCCGTCAATTCTCTGGACATTCTCAGAGAAAAACATAGCATTGGCTACCTACAGCTGCCTGACTGCTGTGCATGTTATTTATTCCAATACAAAGAATAAATAACCCCCAAGTTGTCAGTGAGATACCATGCTAAGCACAAATGCTGTCACCTCCTTGTGCCAGGTTCCATATACTCTGCTGGTTATATTTATTCTCACACAGGTCATCACAGCAAATGCCCATTTCATTGTGTCTGGCTCTGCACTCTCCACAGCACAAGTTGTTCAGATAAGCATTTCCCTTTTCAAAGATCAAGAGTCAAAGAACAGACACTGCAATAGAAACTGTCTGGGCTATGACTATGAATAGCTGCAATTCAGCTGTGATATGCCAAAGGAGAAGGACTAACCTGCACTTGGACAGTGCTTCATAAGGTGAGCAGAGCTGACTAGATGTCCTTCACAAAAGTATCCTGGTGACTTCCCAGCCATGATGGAGAAATGAAATAATTTCTTCCATGTGCACTCATCAGGTAACTAGTTGCCCAGCAAATCAGGAACACACAGTACCTCTAAAACAAACAGGAGAGAAAAAAAAATGATGTAATGATAACACGAAGGGAAAATCGAGCAGCATTGCAACATCTCTGTGCTTTAGACTTTGCTGAGGAATCAAACACCGTTTGCAGTTAGCTTTATGCTTCACAGTTACTGCTGCTAAACAGATTAAATAAATAATCTCTCTTCTGTTACTTCTCTCCTTTCACAGTCCCTAGTCTCCACTTTTTAATGGGTGTGGGGAGATGTGGACACAATATTACTTCCCTGCCAGTCCACACCTTAGGTACCTTTTTTTTTTTACTGCTGGATCATTTCTCGTAATTAGGAAGGTTCCCACTCAGATATATTTTGAGCTTTCAAGGAGAAAAGAGTGAGAAAAAAAGGGAAAAGTTAAAAAAACATGATACAGTTTGTTCTTTACCTAGTTGGCATAGCTAGCTTTGCCGCTTGTTTCCCTTTCATCAGCCTGGCAGGAAACCATAGACAGGAAGATTTTTGTCCTACCCTCACCACCAACCCATGTATCAGTGAGAGTGCAGGGTGCAAATAGGAGGCCAATGTGCTCCTGGAAAAAAAGGAGAGAAGCAAACTAACAAAGGAAGACACAAATGTCAACTTGTTCCTCACCTCAGCCCTTAATATGACTGCTCTGTTCCTTCTTTTCCTAGGGTGAATCTTGAATGATTTCTCCTGGTTTGAAACAGATTCAGGAAAGGAAAGGGAAGAAAAGATACACAGCAAAAGGGAGAATGAGTCAATTCAGAGCTTCAGAATCAATGAAGCCTAAATACACCCCTACATACAGAAGGGGTGGAAGGCAGATATTATGTGGTTTTACTGAGTATTATTACTTCCAGATGAGACAATAATATTAAGTGGCATGAGAAAAGTTTGTCTGAACAAGGCAGGCAAAGCCCTGCACTCTTCCAAGCCAACAAAAAAGCTGAAATATATTTTTCCCATTAGCAGGAGATTTCCCCATATCCTCATCACGTTCTTTATTCTTTGGGAATCATCATAGAATCACAGAATGGCCAGGGTTGGAAGGGACCTTAAAGATCAGGTACTTCCAATTCACCTGCCAGGGACAGTGACAACTTCCACTAGACCAGGTTGCTTAGAGCCCCATCCCAACTGTCCATGAACATTTCCAGGGATGGGGTATCCATAACTTCTCTGGGCTACCTGCTCCAGTGCCTCACCACCCTTGCAGAAAAGAATTTCTTTGTAATACCTAATCTTCCTAATATCTAATCATCTCTTTGAGAAGTAAAATTTAACCTATTGCCTCAAATCTATGTTTTGATAGCCAGGAGCAAAGAATTCAAAGCAGAAGGAATAAGGGATGTTAGATTCAGAGTACGGAAGTTCTGGGACTGCTTCCCAGCAGCAAAAATTGTGGCTGCTGAAATACAGCTCAACCTGTATAAACTTGTGTGAGACAGGGTCCCTCCAGCTCCCACATTCATGTGTTCCTAGTACTCTTCTTTGTGGAGAAGAGAGAGCTGTAAGTGCCTTTGCAGCACACAGGAAAGTGAAGAAGCAGGCCTTAAAGGCAAGTATTTATGCAAACATTGAAAGATAGCGCTTCTCTGTGCCAGACTGCACCAGAGAGAGATCCACTGGAGAGACCTCTCTCCTAAAATTACCCTTTTCAAGTAATGAAGATGAGACACCTTCTGAGACTGAAGTGTCAGGAGAGAAAATGCTGGAACAAGCTGCTAAAGAACAAATAAATGACCAGCACAGTATATCGTGTACATCTGTAGGAGTTTGGAATGGAAGCTGAGCTGCTGAAGACATGAATTCTCTCATTAAAGTCAGCTGTTATACTAGAGTAATGAAGGGTAGCAAATGCTGTAAGTTGTTCTAAAAAAGGCATTTGGGATGATCTGGGAAGTCACAGACCACTGAACTTTACTTTGAATCAGGTAAATTGGTTGAATTATCAAGTAAAATTAAAATCACAGGGAAGGACTGGCACAAAGAATTCATTTAGCTTTGCTCCAGTGTCCTTGCCCTCTTTCCACTGCTCCTCACTACTTTAAAATTCTTGTTGATTCTTCTGAAGTCTCCTGCTTATATCATTCCTCATTACTTTTTGTGTATTTGGCCATATCCTACAGAAAAATGGCTTTTCATCTTCCCTCATTCCACCTAATTCTGTTCTGGGAAAAACTGCATAAGCAAATATTTGTATTTATTCATGCAATAACTGTATTGCCATTGTGGGCACTACAGAGAAAGGTGGCAATAGCAGAAATCATACCTGATGTTCCAGTGATCCACCATTGATCTCTCACTTGTCCCAGTCTTAACAGATAGGAACCATATTTTATATATATATATACACACTATATATTAGGAGGCCAATTGCTTAAACTACTTCAAACTATGCTTTACCATGTGATGACCACACAACAGCATGAAAGAACATTTTAGCAAAGAGTTTTCTACAGGAACCCTTACATGATGTCTGATCCAGATGGAGCTTTAGGATGGATGGAAAGGCCTGATGATTTCTTCAGTTTCCTTGGCAAGCTACACTGGAAAGAATGATCCAGCATGTGTCTTGGTTCTGTGCCTGAGTCGGGATTTGCTTTTATATTATAGTACAACGCTTTTTTTCTACACTACCGAGAACAAGTAGTGGAGAGGAAGCAGCAACTTATGAAAGATGCTGGCCAAGGTATGGCCGGGCTATTGAGGGCACAGCCAGGATGTGATGAACCAGGAGCAGAACATGTGATAAATACAGATTATGCTCCACTCACAAAACTGGGAGCATGTGAGCTTGAAGCAGGAGCATGGGCTCCTTTTGGGACAGCCAGGCAATGTGTCTAGGTTCCTAACTGTGGGGAAACATCAGAGGCTAAAGGCAGAGGGATAACCAATTAGAAAACTCAGAAGCTCTGTTATGTGTCCTGCGAAAACCTAGGCTGGAGGGACGGAGGCACCTAGCCTCAGCTGACATGCCCTAAAAGTGCACAGACAGACAGTATTACAGTTTCATGTCTTCTGTTTAGATCTTAGCCACATCAGTATTTGCAAACCTACCCTATCTTGAGTAATAATTATTGACTTAGATTAGTTTAAGATTACATAGAACCTAATAAACACTCATTACTTTGGCAGGTTTGCTCCTGGTACTGTGATTACTGCAGAAAATCACATTTACTTAAGTACAAACAAAACAAGTTAAGAGTTTAAAGGGTTTTTATTGTTCAAGCAGTGCAGATAGGATATTACTTAATTAATACTTCTTCATGCAGTCAGGTGTCTGGAAACACCACCCTGAAAAAGACACAAAAGGATCATGTTGATCCTGTACCACTTTAGCTATTTTGCATATTCATTTTCTAAATAGTTAATGCTACTAACACCTAATTCTGTAAGCACCAAATGTCACTGAGTGGTTACTTTAATGAACATGTTAGACTGTAATTCATATTAATTACCCATATGACTTGGTTCAAACTAACTTCAGTGTTTACTTGGACACTACTGTAGTTAAATTGCTATTATAATTTCACTCCACATTTTGTTAAGCATTCTGACTTAAAAACTTTCATAACTATCATAACTTTATTTTTATTTCTAGCTAATAAATGAGGGTCCCAGAATTTTTCTGAGTAGACATTAGCTTCCATTCATCCACATAATAATAATATAATGGCCCATCTTCGCGAACGAAGATTTGGGGAAAGGTCTTTTTACCTTTCCAGCCTGCGCAATGGATTTTTTAGGTGAGACACAGCCTGCGCTGAGCTGAGCCCACCCTTTAATCCTAAGGTTCATCTGCCGGGGCCAAGCAAGCTTGGACAATGGCAGTGAGGTCCTCAGGACGTAGGTTTGTTTAGAGTGTCCTTCTCATAGATGGATGGCCACACAGGGCTAACGACCTCCATCAGGCCAGGAGACCGGGGAATCAAACCCGTGGTCACAGCAGTGAAAGTCCTGCACGCTAACCACTAGGCCACCAGGGGTCTCAATTCATCCACATGATGGCAATGCAATTCACTTTCAAACTCCTAAGGTCTAAATTTCTCTGGATTTCTTCTGGATTTCTGGAAAATTAGAAAATTAGAACGCCCTCTTCAAGGTCACTGCAATGCTTCCTTTTCACTGTAGTCCAAAGTCCAAGTGGATATTAGGATGTATAAAGCTTATGGTTTTTATGGCTTGGGAACTGGAGCATCTCTGTTCTTGCCTCTGAGTCATCATGCACCTGATGCCTCACTAATCCCCAAGAGGTTTGATGTACCACAGCACTGAACAGCTATAATTACTTCTGGAAGCCAGCTGTCACTCAAGTGACAAAGACGCCTGCAGAGTCATTCCCCCAGCCCACGTCGCTGAGCACTTGGACCATTTGAATACAATATTAAATAGAACAAGACATGGGCAATACGTTTTTTTTGCAAAGCTGAGCTTGTCACATTTGCAAAATTAATATGGTGTGGCAGGAGATGAAAGGGCCACCTTCGCCATGGAGCTCCCACATATATTGAGCCAGACAGCATGAGCCCAATAATGAAGTGCCTAGTTTTGTACAACCATGAAGTTTTCAGACAGTAAATAGGCAACCAGCAATACATGGCAAGTCCTCTGAGATAAGCACAAAGATGAGGAGGTAATGATAGGAATGAGTGAAAACAGGTATTTCCTACTAAGCCTAAGCAAAATTTTTCTGGGTCTTGCCTGAGCACCTGAGTCTTGCTGGAGCACTGTGTCGACAGGCCTCGACATAGTTTTGTTGAAGGTGTTAAGCCTTCACAGTGCAGCAGGACATGAGCATCTGCAAGGCAAAGAGCACTGGCAGCCCCTAGGAGCCATTCTTTCTGGGACCTTTAGACAGTGTTATGTAAGAGATTTTAATTTATTTACCCTCCTCAACAATCCCTACACCCCAGGGACAAAGGGAAGGACTGAGTGCCTGCTTGAAGGAACCAGCAGCCTAGATTACAAGTCCCTGCTGCTGTTTTAAAAGGGTTACTTTTTGGAC